TCTAAATTTTATTATAAGGAGCAATTTCTCAAGGCGTTTACCTCTCTCAATATACTTTGTTTGAGTAATGAGAACAGATTTTTATTATCTCCTGTGTTAAGTCCCGTCCCCAAAGCGATCAACACTATTACCCATAGTGTTGATCGCTTTTGAATTTGAAGAAAATATTCCACCCTAAAGGTGGCAAACTAGGGGATGAATCCGGTTTCGCGCACTTCTCAAAAACACTTGGCAAATAGATGTAATTCCACGTGGTTTTTTGTAATAACCCCATATACGTACGACCTCGTAAATTACATTTAAAATTACCTTTCCTGAACCCAATATCATAGAACTTGTGAGGTTGCTTTAAACACCAAAGTCGAATAAAATTACATGGCTTCACACTTGACTGCCTGCGACGTGATTAGGTGCGTACCTGTTTATCATATGGATATCTTCATGGCTAATACAAATTCGGTACTGCATACTGATTCGCGGAGCACGTCTGGAACTCGAGATATCTCTCTAACACAGTTACAAACAGGTTTGTACTTCAATTATGAAACGTACCTAGTGTGTACAACTATATCTGTATACGCTACTAACAAATATATGTTGGATACTGTAGACGTTACAGTGCGGATTATTGAGTTAACGGCGTGTTCAGAAGGAATGAGCAAAACTTTTGTCGCTCATTGTACGTAGAACTTTATTTGTTTGTCTTTGTTTCTCTGCATGTGCAATAAAGTATATTTGCATTACCACGTTGTTCTACTTGCATACGTCTTTTGTTTCTAGTGATTGCATTAGCCTTGATTAGACTTATTGTTTTTATTCTAGAATGTGGCGTATCTCAAAAACAACAAATTCACTAGGAAAACGGTTTCAAATGTACTGAGATCTATATGGCGCGCAAAGTCGGTGAATATCAGTAGAAGTAGAGCTTATCAAAGAGTTTGTCCAGGGTGCCACCTTATTTCTGCCACCAATTAGTATGCCAGCATTAATGTGTTCCAGTTTTGAAGGGTGAGGGTGCTAGTGAAATTGCATGGAACGTATCAACTTATGTCTCAGGGTGACGGGCGCAGTGGCCGAGGCATTGGAGATAATATAGAATAGAATAGAATCCATTTATTACATAACGCCACAACACAATAATACACAGTAAAAAATAAATAAAAATAAAACAGAACTAAATTAAAACTAAAACAAACTAAATTAAAACAAACAGAAAATAGAATAACAAAAAAAAACTAAATAAAATTAATTAAAAATAAAATCTTAGTAATAAATAATTAAGCGACCACAAAGCTAGGCAACACTATTGTTGTACTAAGTAGATGTCATGTGTGCGGTTGTGGCGTATGTAATAGGATCCACTCAGCTAGTATAATAATCTAAGTACAGAGTACTAAAAAAACCGACTTGAAAAGTACGTGGAATTACGTCTATTTGCTAAGTTTTATTGAAATATCCCCTAGTTTGCTACTATACAGGACTTGACACTGGAGATAATAAAAATCGGTTCTCACACTCAAAGTATATTGAGACAAAAACGCCTTGAATTGGAGAAATAGCAAAATCAACCATTAAAATAATTGCTCCTAAATTAAAGTTAGGCGCTATTTATAAAAATGAATCTTCATGCGTGAGCAGCCACGCTTAGATATAGATGATTTTCTTCAAAATGAAATGGAACCACTATGGAAGTACACCATTTTCAACAAAAAAAAAAAAAATCATGAAAATCGGTTCACAAATACCGGAGTTATCGCGTAACATATATAAAAAAAACAGTCAAATTGAGAACCTCCTCCTTTTTGAAATCGGTTAAAAACTTAGAGGAATCTGAACGCACACGAACAACAGGAACGCAATATTCCAGAATACTGTGTTTTTGAAGTAATAATGCAGCGATGAGTAGAGCAATCGAAATTTTATTGTGGAAAAGTACCCATATTCTTACATGAAAACAATTTTTACACGTAATAGGATGGGTGCTAATAATGACTGTTTGGTGACTAATAACGTTTTAGTCAGCCAGAATAAACCTATAACTGTAAAGAGTCGATAACGTTGGTTTGTTTGAAAAACAAATAATAATAATAATAATAACGTACACACTCAACATAGCCCCGCACTAGGGAAACGCTGTGTCGCGGGTGCCATGGACACACACATAGACAACCACAAATTACACCCAAATTCACGAGAGAAATAAATGTAGGCTATACAAATATTTCTCCCGGCCCGGGAATCGAACCTGGGACCTATGCGTGGCAGTCCGGCATGGTAACCATTCGGCCACAGAGGCAGTTTTATTTTATTATTAAATATACACGATTATTTGATTTTAAATTCGATACTTGTCCCTTCGAGACCATGGACGTTCGAAGACTTCCGAAAAGTCGAGGTAAATAAAATGAAAAATAAAAATAAATAAAAACACATTTACGTATTTATCCACAAAACACCTAAACAAACATAACTGAACAATTTTTTTTTATGTAAAATGTAGGTGCGCATTTGACCTCCATCTCACCTGATGGAAAGTCGTGATGAGGTCGACGATGGAGCATGCACATCTAAATAATGCCTATTCGCTCTTGCCTTGAAAAGGTCCAAGTTATAATGTTTAGGGAACAAGTCTGCAGACAGGGAATTCCACTCCATAGCCTTTCGCCATATAAATGTGGAAGCTGTGCGAATCTTTGGAATATCCAGAACATAGGAGTGGAACCCAAGCCTACGTCTAGTCCCCCGGTGATGGAAAGGGGAAAGCGGAATTAAATCGTGTAATTCCATCACACATTCTCCGTGATATATCCTATAAAATATCGATAAGCAGGCAACCTTACCGCGGTGTTCAAGGATCTGCAGCTTCGCCTCCACTAATTCCGAGTCACCTGTAAGGCTCTTGGCACGGTTGTCAATTGAATCCAAAGTGGCCAGTTGATATGTAGCAGAGCCATCCCAGAGGTGGCAGCAGTACTCCATGCACGATCGGACTTGTGATTGGTACAGCTGAAGCAACTGTCCCGGTGTAAAGTAACGCCTCACCCCGGAAAGGATCCCAAGCTTCCTTGCTGCATTTTTGGCCATGGATTCAATGTATCTGCCGAAGTTCAAATTGGACGACAGGTCCATTCTAAGTAGCTGGAGACAATCGGCTATCGGTATGGATATATCAGGAAAAGTCGGAGTCAGCTCAAAGGGACTCCGTTTTGTGGAAAATAGACACGCCTGCGTTTTAGTAGCGTTAAATTTGCAAGATTGACATTGTCCCAGTCGGAGACTGCCTGGAGTGTCAAATCTAAACGGCTAACCATGGACTCTCGACTAGACTGGATTTCCTCTCCACTGACCCTTGCATTGATCAAGTACCCATGTACAACTGTGCTGTCATCAGCATACGCAAAGGTACCTGGAATTAACTAATTTAACTGCCTCCGTGGCCGAACGGTTACCACGCCGGACTGCCACGCAGAGGCCCCAGGTTCGATTCCCGGGCCGGGAGAAATATTTGTATGACCTACATTTATTTCTCTCGTGAGTTTGGGTGTAATTTGTGGTTGTCTATGTGTGTGTCCATGGCACCCGCGACACAGGGTTTCCCTAGTGCGGGGCTATGTTGAGTGTGTGCGTTATTATTATTATTATTATATTATTATTATTATTATTAACATATCATTGATATGCAGCAAAAAGAGAGTTGTAGAGTACGGAACCCTGAGGAACTCGGCATCTGTCGCCATGTGTTCGGAAGAGTAGCTTTCTAAGACCACTCGAATTGAACATTCGCTCAAGAAATCAGAGATCTAATTGCAAAGGTCAGTGGGAAGCCCATAAGAGGGAAGCTTACTTAAAAGGCTTACGTGTCCGACCCTGTCAAAGGCTTTAGAAAAGTCCAAAGACAATGCAAGCGCTTCACCTTGCTTTTCTATAGCCTCGCTCCATATGTGATAAGCATACACAAGAAAATCCCCAGTAGATCACCCTCGTCGGAATCCGTACTGGCGATCACTGAGAAGGTCGTTGTCTTCAAGGTACGATAGGAGACGGTTAATGAGACGGTTATATCTTGGAGAATATGGAAGTGACTGAGATAGGTATATAGTTGACAGGGTCAGGTCTACTTCCCTTTTTTGGCACAGGTTGCACGTTTGCGAGCTTTCACGACCTGGAAACTACACAAGTCTCAAGTAAGAGGCGGTACATGCTTGTGAGAGCAGGACACAACTCAGGCGCACAGTTACACAGGACTATTGCTGGAATTCCATTTGGCCCGCTCGCTTTATTTACGTCTGGATTTCGCAGAGTTTTAAGTAACTCTTTTCGGCGTATGCGCACTGGCGCCATAGTGCACCCAGTCTGAGGTAAAGGTCCCTGCGGCATCCAGACGCGAACTCTCTGCAAAAAGTGAGGCAAAGAGATTCGCCTTCTCTTCCGCAGTATGAGCCAGCGAACCATCCGGCCTCAGAAGAGGTGGCAATGATGGGCGAGGAAAGTTAGATTCGACCGCTTTGGCCAGAGATCAAAATGTCTTGCTGCCTGCTGGATAAGAGGCAAGCTTGGATTGAAAGGATGAAGACTCAGCATTGCTGATTTTCAGGCTTCATCTTAAAGTTATTCGCTTGCTGCATCTGACCGGCAAGCGGAGTGTATTACTAAACACCGAGCAATTAATAGAGGTTGTCTGTGTTGCACTATACGTAAAATGTATAAAAATAAAAATAAAATTGTAAATAAAAACAGAAAACATTCTAAAATTATATTCATGTATTTAAAGGTATTAAAATATGTTGTAATACATGATTGAGTCCCGAATTTTAATCAAATAACGTGTGAAAAAAATACGCGATTTTAGATCGAAAAAAAAACAATTGTTCAAGTTCTAAGTTCTAAAAATCTTAGATAAGTCTTACTTAAATGATGAACTTAGGATATGTGCGATAACTAAGATTAATGATATGCCTAAGAAAGAATTAATCTTATCTTAACAGATCTCGGAAACTCACCTTTCCATGGTGTGTAGAGTTATCATAATGTACGAGTTCAGGTTCCTCAGTGGAAAAATTGTGGCCGTGGCGGTGGCCGATACTTGTGGCAATCTGAAACAATAAACAAAATCAAAATTAAAATTGCTATAAATGAGACACAGTATAATATGGTTAATGTTTAAGACATTTATTTCTCAAAAGAATACAAATTCATTAAGCGAGAAATACAAGGTGTCATACAATTTTTACAGAGAGTACGTGTTGATAAAATATTTAAAAGAAGGTGTACAAATATTTCTTTTTTAGTAAAAATAAGTGCGCGTTTAATCTCCATCTCATCTGATGGAAAGCGACGATGAGGTCGACGATGTAGCATGCACACCTAAATAATGCCTATTCGCTCTCGCTTTGAAAATGTCCAAGGTATAGCGTTCGGGGAATAAGTCTGCAGGCAGGGAATTCTCTCCATAGCTGTTCGCCATATAAATGTGGAAGCGTAACGCTTCGAGCCAATCTTTGGAATATCCACAACATAGGGGTGGAGCCCCAGCTCACGTCTAGTCCCTCGATGATGGAAAGGGGAAGGCGGAATCAAATTATGCAATTCTATCGCATACTCTCGGTGATGTATCCTGTAGAATACCGATAAGAAGGCAACTTTACGGCGATGTTCAAAGCTCTGCTTCGCCTCTACTATTTCCGAGTCACCTATAATCATCTTGTCACGCTTGATTTGCTATTCTAGTATAATAAGAAAACAAACAAAAAAAAAGGTCCTAATCAAGTATTGCATATCACTTGCCATGGTGACAGTTTAATAGTAATTACATATAGTAATAAAAACATCAACAATAATTTCGTTTTTAATAATTGGAATGACTGTATTTCCTTTATGTCTTTCGGTGATTTGTTGTACCTAATTTTAGCTCCTTCGCATTAATAAAGACAAAGTATAATAATTACAATTTAAGATAAGACAATTCCAGTGTGTATATAATCATATACTCATTGGAATTGTCTTGTCTTAAATCCAGTTACAGATAATTATGGAGTGTAGTTTCTCACGCAATTACAACTTTATGGCGATGAAAACAGAGCATTTAATTAAGAATATCTATTTCTCAATAGTAGTTGCGTTATGGACCAAGCTAACCTTTACAATTTAGATATTTTTTTTACGATATTAAGTGAAAGGACGAAGAAGTCATGCACCTGGTGGTAAGCGACACACCTGTCCATAGCAGTTGCAGTGTTATTCAGAGTTTTAAACGCCGTCGTCCTGAGACGTAAATTGACAAGTCCTTTGTGCCTATAATTTCACAAGTACCCTTATCCTTCCAAAACCGAAACACGGTATGACGATGTGACCTCCTTACATGGTCATTCCAGCTTTTTATCGCTATTTCTCCAGTTCCTGGCCACTCGTTTTTAAATTTTGGAGTGTTCTTTAATAATTTATTTTGTCACTCCCTGCTCGAACGCGGCTGCGAACAGTGAAGAACTAATTTTAATTCCTTTGCCAGATTTGTAATAGCTACTACTAATCATGTGCCTATTTTGATAACAATTTGTAATAACTACTGTTAATCAAGTGCCAATTTTAATACCAATCTGTAATTCAGTACAACTCGGCCCTTTCGGGGTAAGCGTCTACTTCATATTCATCCAAAAGCATACCCGTATGTAATTAAGTTAGGGAGTGTGTTGTAGTATTGTACCTGTTTTTATATACCTTTTTTGTTACAGCTTTTTTCTCTTTACCATCAACTTGTAATCCATTTCCGTGGACCTGAAGTTTTCTTATTTTATTGCCGTGGACCCGGTCACGGCTCATTAGGGCTTACAACCTTTTTAACAGTAATGCTCATACTACTGCTTACCCGGAGAAATAGGTAAGGTGGTAGTACTTCCCTGGACGAGCTCTTTCACAAGGTGCTCTACTGTTACTAAGATGGAAACTGTTGCGAACGCAACAATTTTTGTAATTTTAACATAATTTCCAAAGCAGTAACATTACGTAGGCCTATTTTGAACCAATCGAGTAACACCACATATGTCTTTTTCATCCCTACCACATTTGTAACGAATTTTGTACGTGACTAAAAAGGTCAAAAGGACCGTTCACTTTTAAAACTGTACCCCTTCAGAAACTATCACTGTATCGATTTAACAGCACTACTCCTGTAACTAACCAGTCACCTATTTTAAAATATAACACAGTTAACTAAAATCGTCTTTGATTTTACGAGTCGTCGAGCTCCTGATCGTCATCTACTTTGGGTCTGGCGGCT